GCGAGCCTCCGCTGTCTGCCAGCGTCACGCTGCACGTGCTGCTGGTGGATGGCTTCTCCCAGCCCTACCTGCCGCTCCCGGAAGTGGCGCCAGAGCGCGCGCAGGGGSACTCGCTCACTGTCTACTTGGTCATCGCCTTGGCCTCTGTGTCATCGCTCTTCCTCTTCTCTGTGTTGGTGTTTGTGGTTGTGAGGCTGTGCAGGAGGCGCAGGGCGGCGCCGCTGGGTGTCTGCTCTGTGCCTGAGGTCCACTTTCCTGGCCACCTGGTGGATGTCAGTGGCACCGGGACACTGTCTCAGAGCTACCAGTATGAGGTTTGTTTGACCAGCGACTCTGGGACTAGCGACTTSAAGTTCCTGAAGCCCATATTCCACAATGTATCTCCCAAGAGTGCAAGAGAAGCAACCCATTAAAATGGCACCTTCAGGAATAATTTTGAATTCCATTAATCTGATTATATTGCAGTGTTTTCTACCCCTTATCTATAATTTTCCTGGATTAAGAGTTACAGTGTGTCATGGAGGAAAAGTCCCCCTTGAAGTATAGCTGTGATTTCCCTTCTGTAGTGGAGTTGTTCGCTGGTGTTGTCCAACTTTGGAAAACTCAATTTTACTTTATTGTATTTATGCACTGTCATTACAAATTCATACTAAGGGTTGGTTTTTTTCCTTATATTTTTAGTCTTTTGTATATTTGTCATGGTAACTGGCTTAAYAAGTTCAACTGGAACTTTTCCTTATATGGTACTCATTCTGTTTCATCCCATTCAAGGATTTTAGGTGTTAAATTGAAAAAAAAAAATCACTTCATTTTATTCTTTTTGTTTCCAAATGAATGCATATGATTACAAGTCCAGTATGTGAGAAACCATAATAAAATTCAACAACATCTACTCTTATTTTGCAACCTTAAGCCTCCTTGGCAAATATTTTTTTTGGAAAAACTTTTTAAATTGATATATAGCATACAGAAAGCAAAGTGAATGTAATATTCAGCTGTATGTATTTTCACATGAGCAACTTGAGAAAATGAAACATTTGTATTGCACTCAACACAAATTTCTCCTTAAAATCACTGTGAACCCAAGTATAACTGACATGTCCTCACCATAGCATAGTTTATTTTTGCCCCTTTTGAATTTATATAAATGTGATAATAGACTATGAACTGCCTTGTGTATAGTTGCTTTTGCTCAATATTTTATTAAATTTATTCATTATTCTGCTTAACTTTTTCATTCTCATTGCTGTATTACTCATTTCTTCACTGTATTAGTCTTTTCATTCTCATTGCTGTATTACTCATTACTTCACTGTATTAGTCTATCAATGTTTATTAAAATTCATTGAATATCATCTAGCCACATATATGGGTTGGTGCATGGATTGACTGTTATGAATCACACTACTCTGAACATTCTTGYAATGTCTTTGGACTTTGCAGTTTTGTTGGACACTAAGGGATGGAATTACTGCTTATTTTGTAGGTACATATTTACTCTTAGTAGACATTTCCAAATAGTTTTCCAAAGTGATTTTGCCATTTACACTATCCACAACATCTAGATGTACCCAGTCATTCACATGCTATTATCTGGTTTTTAAAATTTTATCCCATTAGAAAGCATTTTAAAAACTTCCAAAAAAACTCTTACAACATTTATCCTTAATATTAGTTAATATTTTTATAATTATTTTGGGTTGAATTGAACTCCCATCCCTTCCAGTTTCATATGACATCAGAAATCCCACTACCTCAGAATATGATCTTGCTTAGAGATAGGACCTATGAAGAGGGAATTACATTAATATTAGGTGGTTTGTGTAGGCCCTAAACCAATAAAACTGGTGTCATTATAAAAGGAAATTAGGCATGGAGAAAAGACATACCAGATACATGCATACACAGAGATGATCGTGTAAAGTCACCAGAATAAGATCATCATATATGAGAGAGGCTTCRGAATTTAAAAATCCTGACAACACCTTGACCTGAGACTTATATTCTCCACAACTGTGAGAAAATATACACCTGTGATTTAAGCCACCCATCTGTGGTATGTGGTTATGGCAATCTACAAATTAGATTAGTAGATTAAATTAGTAAATTACAAACAACATTAGTAATTTATCAGGCATTTTTTTCTTTGACAATTTACTGTTATGATTGCTGGGTACTGCATTAAAAAATAACTTCAATTATATGATCTTCACATAGAATATACTACTATTTCAGGTACTTCTCTTGTCAAATTGAAAAGTCCATTTATTATCTATTAACAATAGTTTCATTGATTTTTGTATGGATAAAATGCAGACATTCTTATTCTTTCTTTYCTGTTTTCGCTTACATTTTCCAACCTCCTTCAGTGAACTTCTGCCTTTAACCACATCTTGTCTATAGATAAGTTTTAGAAACTGAAAATATGAATTTGAATTTTACTTTTTGTGACAATATAAATCATAATTTCCTACAACCAAAAATCACCAGGAACACACTTTATCAAAATAAAGTTGGGGTTATTGATTCTTTGTAATAATGGAAACTGTAGAAAATAAGAAACTGTGGATCACCTTAGTAACAGGGTTACTTTTGTWCTACTTACAAAGGAGTTCTAGGATTTGAGTTTGTGATAGGAAATTTGGAGAGGGTTTAAGGAAGTAAGGGTTAGCTCTGGATTAGATGCTTTAAGAAAATGGGAAAGAAATGTATGATTAGCTATTTCACTGAATTTCATTGAGGAATTGAGGAGAACAAGGTGAAATGAAAGTATAATTGGTGAAGAAACAACATTCACTCATATTTTCAAGGAATTGGAAGTCTTTGGTCATTGTCCTGGTTTGAACAATATTCTTATTTTGGCTTGTGCTCAACCATGAAGTAATTTTATTTTCATTTTGCTTAATTGCTGAGAGCCATAGCCGAGTCCAAATGACGCATGGCATTTTTGCCAGAACTGAGTGGCTGAGAGGCGACACCAGCAAGCCATCGAGATGATAATGGTTATGTTAAGCTGTGTATATTAGACCCCTGCTGACCGCCTTGGCCTGCTACTTTGGAGTTCTCCTGGGGATTTCCGGAGAGTTCCCATTGGTTGGGGAAGTGCACGAGGAGGGATTTCTGGAGGCGGGATTTCCGGTTGGTGTGTGATGTGTCCCGAGAGAAAGCCGAGTGCATGGCGTTGTTGGGAGTGGGAGAATAAAGGAGTTCCTGTTTTGAACCTACAAGGCTGTGTGGCGGCTGGGTTATTTTGTGCCCAGCCAGACTGCGGCACTTAATCAGAATCACCAAGGTCTTTTTTGATATTGGTGTTGGGTGAGGTGGTTCATGTTCTGTAGGAGATCTTGACCTACCTGAGAGTGTCAGGACAGTCCCTGGTTATTAGTGGCTGATTCTCTCTCTCAAAATATTGTCCCTTATGYAGYCATAGTASTTGGGATAAGTAATATCATACCTGCTCCTTGGATCTACCATTGTGCTTCCTATGCCATTGAAAAAAAGAATGTCCCTAAAATCAAGATCAAATAGATTCACCTTTTAAACTTCTTAAGTTAACCCTATCTCATCTTCACATTTTTTCAAAATCCCAATCATGAATTCAGCTTCCCATATTTTCTACCTGGAGCCTTCTATCTTTTTGCTTCTACTAGAATTAAATGTTCTCTGCATCTGCACCAAACTGCTCTCTTGTCTTCATTCTCTCCTATTTGATTTCATTGTGTGATGGGACCCTCATCCCCTTCTTTCCTTTTTCATTCCCTTCCTTTGCTATAGTAAATCCTCAAATGACATCCCCAAAGAGTATGTATAGAGAAAAACTTAATATCTTACATGCCTGAAAATGTATTTAGTTTTCCCTAATACTCTACTGATGATTCAGTGAGATAAAGAATTCTTGCTCTGCAATTTAAAATAGTTTATGAATTGATTATTAATCTAAAATTTTAAATAAATCTTACCCAATATGATTGTTGATCCTTTTTGTTCTCTCTTCTTTTACACACATATATAAAAAATATAAATTATATGTATATGCAATATGTGTAATTTCTGTTTCCTTTCTTCCCTCTCAAATTTTAGAATTTTCTATATTAGGATATTTGAGTTTCACAATAATATTATGTTCTTTTTCATTTATTTTTCTGGACCCTTGATGTATTTATACATTCTAATAATTCACATATTTTMATTCTTGAGATATTTATCTCTACTACTATTCCCTTACCAATTGTATCCCTAACTTTATCTTGTTATTTCTGAGATTTGAGCTTATCAGTTATATAATTAATTCTCTATTATATTAGGGTTTTACTTTGTTGTGTTTTTTTATTTTATATTCTGACATCTCTTAATTTGAGTTCCTTCTAGTGTATTATTAATTTTGGTGTCATATTTAAATCCTTAAGAACTTTGTTATTGAGACTTTTCCAAAGTATCATTTCACATTTTCCACAACTCACTTCATATCCCGAATTATCTATTTGCTACAGAGTCCATTTTTCTTTCTACTTTTCCTTTTTCTTTCATTTATTTCTTGTTCTTTTTTGTTAAATATTTCTCTTTTTTCTTATGTCTTTCRCACCCTGGTTGTCTGTTTATATGTAAAAAAGGATAGAGTATTTGAAGAAGCTGCTGCTTTTTATATATTCTCTGCCTTTGTATTACAGGGTGGTTTCCACTAAGACCTCTATCCTGAATAGAAATTCGGACAAGGTGCTCTGTGAGAGGCAGTGCAGGGCCAGGTTTATAATGTCAGATGTGACTTTATAGTGGGCTGAGATGASTGGGCAGGGAGCTCTTTTCAGGAAGTGATCCTTGATATGCCCAAATGCAAAAGACTCTACTCTGAGATTCCAAAACCTCCACTAAATGTCTTAATGTTCTCTAGAAGATTCCTTTGATTTCTTTAGAAATAAATGACCCTTAAGATTTTTGAGGAAAGGTCTTGAGGAGAAATAATTATTAAACTTTATAACCTATTATATATAATGTATACTATATACTTTCTTCATATTTAYTTTCAAATTCATTATACATATCTCATTTAATCCTTCAAATAATGGTATAATTTTAATGGTATGATTTTTAAAGAGATGAACAAACTGGACTATACAGAAGTAAACCAATTTGACAAACATCATTGTCTTCACCAATTCTGGCTTCTATAATGAAGTGCCATAGGCTGAGTGGTTCATAAATAGCTGAAATTTATTGTTCACAGTTCTGAATTTTTTCACTATGAACAATGGTGATACAAGTACATATAGTTAGGTACTATTTGGGTCATATCAAGAATTAGTAAGATATCAAATATAATAGACAATTAATAGATTCTCTAATGCTAAGATGATATAGATGTTAGAATTATCTGAAGAAAGTTTTCAAAACAGATTTAATAAAGTGCTTTAACAAG